GCGGGGGCACATGACCTGTTGTTGTGTCAACTTTCTGAGTGCAGGGCGGCCTTGCTGTTCAGCGGAGCGTCACGGAGGAGGGAGGAGGACGCTGCAGCTGCTCCTACTGCTGCAAAAGTGAAGGTGCCAGAAAAGAACCACTTTGGTTCCCTGAAAAAATAAATTGGTGGTTCTTTTTCATGTTAACACCTCATAATGGAAAGGTTCTGGGAAGAGCTTTGAAACTGGTCTTATAAGCATATAAGCGTTGTCGTGTTGGTTTTTACTGTGTGCTGTGCGCATCCTGACCAATCACAGTTTCAGATGAGCTTCTGTGGGTGTTTTGATGAGTCACAATATTGTAAGTATTGGAAATAATCCAACAAAAATAAATTATTTCGGTCAGATTTATTTTGCGCTGCAAAAAAATAGTATCTTGTCAAGTAAAATGATCTTAATTTGAGTCGTCATGTCTAATATTTCCCATTTTGAGCTGGTTGTGCACTGATTATGAGATTATCCAGCTGGTTTCTAGACATTTTTCACCTGTTTTAAGTGATTTTAGTTAATAAAATGATCTCACTATACTGGCAGATAATTTAACTGGTTTGAAGCACATTTCTTAAAATAAGCAACATTATTAGCCAACATAGTGAGATAATTTTACTTAATAGAATGACTTAAAACAAGTAAAAAATGTTGAATAAAAAAAATATTGAATATATTAACTAGATTTAAGATAATTTCACTTGACAAGATACTATTATTTGCAGTGTGGGTACCAAGTTACTGATGCACCAGTGTGTTTTAATGCATCACCAGTCATAGCGCAATCATAGTATACTGTAATATATAATGCAGCCCAATTGGGAACAAAAATGCACTGACCACAGTAAAAATAAGAGACAGATTTTATGAAATCATACAAATAAATAGCTCTATTGGATCCTACTCTGTGCATAAAGAAAGAAACCCAGCAGGTGAATGTGAGATCTATGTTTCAATGCATTCCCCTCTCTAGAAACCTGTTGAGATGCATAATAAACCTAAGATAGCACTGACCCCTAGTGTTAGACCTCAAAACAACTTCATCTACAGCTGAGGACCAAATACACTCTGTATGTCTTACATTTATTCACAGTATGAGCAGAATTACAGCAGACGAATGCCTAATAGGCCCATTTCAGTAGTTATATTTACTTTGCTAATGTTTGTTTACACTGATTGATGTAAACAAACATTGGTCCCCCGGCACCGCCCACATGATTAGTGTAACGCTCCCATGCCGTCATTCACAGCCTCCCTTCGCTGCTGGGCTCGACCTCCGCGGTAAGTCTAATGGCCCAGTGAGTGAATAAATGCAGCACTAATTAGAAAGGATGAGGTAACGTCCTGCAGCCAGTGGGTGCGACCTGGACCTCCGCACTGCAATCTAGTCTGCCACATCGCTCTAAACGAGAGGCTCGATAAAGACAGACATAACCTGATTACAGAGAGAAACGGTCAGCCTGCTGACCCGCCGGACAAAGCATTATACAGTCCACAGCTCGGGGGAGTGAAGAATGAATGGATGGTCCTTTAACTACTGTTCTAAATAATGTGTGAGTGGGAAGAACCTCATAACCGCATCATTAATGGTTATTCCAACTGAACGTTTTCCTAGAACTGGACATTCAAGACAAAATATCAAAGCCTTTACTTCAACATTTACATTTGTATTTTTCAACCACATTCTTAGAAATAAAAGTACCAAATGGGTTCTTTGATGCCATGGAACAACCAGTTTTGGTTCCTTAAAGAACCTTTCAATTGACGATTCTTTAAAGAACCATTTTTGCACACTGTTAAAAAAGGATGCCACAAAGGTTTCATTTGAGGGACACCACCTAACCACCACTTTTGGTTCTCTGAAGGTTTTAAGAACTTTCACATAATGTAAAGGTTCTATATCAATATAAGGGTTCGCCCCAGAACATTAACACGGGTTCTTCACACTCACACGTCACATTTACAAAGCTGGTTCTCTAAAGTACAATCTAAAGGTTTTTTTTTAGGGAAACCTAAAGCGGTTCTTCAGTGGCATTGCTCAAAGAACCATTTATTTTTGTGAGTGTAAACGAGATGTGAGCGTGTAAAGAACTTCCCCATAGTGTAACGGTTCCAGGAAGAACCTCTAAATTGGTAGATGCTCTTAAAAAAAAGTGTCCACAAAGGGTTCTTTGAGTGATGCCACAGAAGAACCACTTCAGGTTTCCTAAAAAAAAAAACATTTCAATAAATGGCTCTTTAGAGATTAGTGTGAGTGTGAAGAACCTTTTTAACGCTTAAAGTACCTCTACATACTGTAAAGTTTCTAGGAAGAACCTCTAAATTGGTAGATGTTCTTAAAAAAGGTTCTTTGAGTGATGCCACAGAAGAACCACTTCAGGTTTTCCCAAAAAACATTTCAAAAAATGGTTCTTTAGAGATTAGTGTGAGTACAAAGAATCTTTTTAAAGCTTAAAGAACCTCTACATAATGTAAAGGTTCTAGCAAAAGCCTCTAAATTGGTAGATGCTCTTAAAAAAGGCTGTAGAGGTTCTTTAAGTTTTGAAAAAGGTTCGTTACACTCACACTAATCTCTAAAGGACCATTTACTGAAATGTGTTTTTTTTTCTTAGGAAACCCTAAAGTGGTTCCCAGTTTAAAGAACCTTTTTGGAATCTTTCTTTTTAAGGGTCTAGAACATTATTACATTATGTAAAGTTCTTTAAACCTTTGAAATGTTCTTCACATTCGCAAATCTCTTTTTCAAACATGTTTCTTGGGCGGGGTCAAAGGTGGTTCTTCTAAGGCATCACCCATAGTAGAACCCTTAGTGGCACTTTGTTTTTGAGACAGTTTATATAAAGTAGCTGTTTTTGCTTTAAAGACTGTAAACTTGAGAATAACTGAGAACGTTTCTTCTCTTTCCACAAGGTTTTCCAAAACGTGCTCAGAGAAACACAACAACGGGGGCTGAACTACATTCTACATTTAGGAAGATTACATGTTTCTTAAGGCCTCTTTCTTCACTTCCTGCTTTGCGGTTGACTCACCATCTGCTGGGCCTCGTCAAGTCCTGCAGAGTTTAGGTGGTACACTGAAGATCTTCACGTCCAGCCAGTACTTCAACTCACCTTTCCCTTATTCCTTGCCAAAGGGATGCTGGACCAGAACTAGTACTACAGTGAAAATTCATGAACTAAATAAAGTCTTGGCTGGTTTTCTTTAATGCCACACCTTCCTTCTAACCCTAACCCTTACTTTTAATCCTGGACACAAACAAACACTATTATCATCCAAAATACAGGCTTCCAAAATAAGGCATTTATTTAGGCCGTGTATAAATACACATACAACATATAAATTAGGAATTTGTACAGACTGCCACTTATTTTCAGTTTTCTATACAATAATTACAATATATCTTACAATAAACATACATACTTACAAATAAAATATACATTCATCCAGTATGTACATGGCTGTGACGTCTGTATTCGATTGCTTGTTTTAGGCTGCCCTTTGGCTGCATCTTAAATTATATTGTGCTTGTTTCCTTATTTCAGCTACTGTTCTGCTTTTAAGTACCTAAAACAACTGAACTGAAACCATGAACTGTTCCTCATAGAGCTGGTGGCACAGACTTAAGCAACAACACATTAAAGCAGTCTTATTCACCGTTTGCTATGGCTGGCTGAAATAACACAAGTTCAGGCCTGTTTTTGATGGACGAGGTGCAAGAAACAAAAAGCGGGTCACTAACACAATCTGCTCTGACGAGGCCGGACTGAAAAAGCAGTAATGCATTGAACTTAGTTGGTATGAAATGTGTACATCAAATAAAATATACTACATCAACACATTCATTCAGTTTGTGTACTTTTGCCAACTGCTTGATGTAATAAACACTCTTATAACAAAAATCTGGAAAAAATGGTAAAAAGCCAGACAAAACCTGCTTATTAACAGTAACAGGATTTTCTCAATGATGGTTAAAATCTGTAAAATTACAGCCAATTAAGTTCTTTGAAATACTGCCTTTTACTGTAATTCAGCAATGTCACTGATTCAACTAGTTATTCTGACAGAATACAGTACTTTACCATCATGATTACAGTGTCTGTGAAATAAAGGTGATCATTAGTTTTTGTGAATTTACATGATTTTTCCGTAAATTAACAGCAGCAGTGTTAAAATCTATTTATGTATAATATCACACATATCACTGCTGTTAGACCAAAACCTCGTATCTCCAAAATGAGAACTTTACAATAGAAGGTAAAAACATACTTTACTTTTAATGTAAGTCAATGGAACCAGACTTCTTTCCAAGTAATTTTTGGCTGTTTCTTATCTACACACAATGTAAAAGCCAACAGGCATTTTCAAATTATCTCAAAAACTGGGAACTGGCAAAAATGGAGATATGAGGTTTTGTTCCGACAGCAGCGATATAATATATTTATGGCTTGTTTACATGAATGTAACCTGTTTTCTCCCCCAAAATAGGTGCTGACCATTAAATTTTACTATGATAGTGAAAATGCTTTTGTTTCACAGTGTACAAGAGGGGTCTAAAAGTTTGATGCCACATTGAAAATCTGGGATTTTATCCACTTAAACCTGAAAATAAACAACTCAAAGTTTTCAAATTAAGTAAGAGAAGAATAATTTTAAAGGTTATGCACTATTTCTAGGCCACTATTCAAATGTATAGCACATTTGTGACGATGACCTACAAAAAGGACAGATTATTATTGTTATTACGCTTTTTTGGCATCTTAAATCTTCCATTGAAGCTCGTATTCAGACAACTCTCAGGTAGATTTGATCTGCTCACCACAGGCCTTTGCACAAACTTGTGTAGGCTGTGTCTGCTCGAGTGCACCCTGTCATTTGTGTAAATTCAATGCATTACTTTTTTTAGTGCAAGGAGAAAGACCACCAGCATTGCAGGGAAACAGCTACTCTGACATTATAAACAAACCTTATGAATGACCCCTGCCTGAGAGACCCCGTCTCCATGGCAACAGGCAGTAGAGGTGCGTCTCCGGGGACAGGAGAGTGTGCATCTGCCTTGCTAACAGTTCCATATTTTCAAAAGCGGTAGATAGACATTATCATTCAAACTGCCCCATGTCAGCTGGGTCAACAGAGGTTTCACTTCACAGAAAATCCCACTAGCCAGCTCCTAACAACAGGATACCTGTCACCAAAGGGCCTGTAGTGGCCTGCACTGCTTTTGTCCTCTCCTATAAGATATCAGTGGGTTCATGCTGGCCTTATGAATGCTGAGGGAGTGTGGAAAAATGTGTGCTGTTTGGTGCTAAACCTGTTCTGACTGTTCACTACCCACGGACAACACCACCCGGGAGCCATGACATCACGGTGACTCTGAGTCAACACAGAACTAACACTTCAGCCCTGTGAGCTGTACTTTGCCATGAAGACATGAACGTTTTAAAGCTTCTAGGACACATTTTTCAATCTACATCTATGAATACAGCCAACAAGCCATGGGCTGTAAGAAATCAGTATAATGTGCATGCACTGCTTTCAAAAGGCACGAGTACCAATTAGAATTGTGTTAAAAAAAACTTTTCAACCTGAAAACAAAGCAGCAAATTGGCTTTTGAAGTTGGAATAAACCCTTTTTTACATCGATCTCCCTAATTAGCACAGAGTTACAGTACATGAAGGAGGATTTGTACCAACTAAACTTACAGTACTTCTTTTTTCCTGCATGAACAAATATTTAGGAGATACAGGAGAACATTTGTATTGCATTTAAAAATACTGCTCTCAAAAATAGATTCCTTGCAATTTTTTTAACCTATAATTCAGATGTTTTTTCCCTTTGTACCAGAAAAACAACGATTATTTTGAACTAAAACTCAACTGAGGCCACAAGATGCAAGATAACTTCAGTTGATGTTAGACAAATGTTTACCCCTGAGGCGTGTTCAAATAAGCTCTGAGGCGATCATGATTTACTCAGCGTCGATGTGCTTACAATGGACCCCTCGGCCAAGAGAGGTCCTTTGTGGACGTCCAAGACGTATGAGGCGATGGAGGTGAGTCCACGAATAGGCCAGGCGGGCAGAGACCAGGTCCAGAGAGGCAGCGCTGAATTCTGCCCACAAGTTGGATGGGACCATCTCCTTAACGAGCTTTGGCAAAGCCACGGATTCAGGCAGAAGTCCTGTGTCACCACCAAGAAGCAGATGGTGGAGAACCCTGGCCTGCAGACTGTCTCTCAAGCATCGTAGCAAGTCCTCCAGTCTCTCCACCAGGTGGCGCTCTTCCCAGGCCTCAGGGGGTGTTCTGAGCAGCAGACGTAGCCAGGCAGTTTTCAGGGCGTAGGAGGAGAGCACCCCCCTCCACTCAGACCCAGCTTGCTGGTCCAAAGTCTGGCCTCCTAGGTCTCGAACCTCCTTGAGCAGCTGAAGGCACTTCAGATGGCAGGAGTTAGCTGGGAGTTTGCTTTTGAGGAAGTCCAGCAATCTGTGCTCCTGCCTTGGGAAGTAAACCGTCCACACATCCTCCCCTTTCTGTGCTCCAGGGGCTGCAACCAGGAAGGCGTTGTCACCTAAGGGCAAAGCCGGGATTAACCGGACGCCCATGGAGATGTGGCAGCAAACGTAGTCTGAGCGAGGTGTGAGGTGCAGCTGGACTCGCTGGCCCTCATTGAGGGACAGGCTGAGGGAGCATCGCTGCTCAAACGGGTAACGAACAGCAGAGAGGCAGCGTTGGGAAGCGGAATAGAACCAACGGAGCACAGAATCCGGGCTTAGCCTGTAGACTCCTGCAGTGCCTTGCAAATGCAGAAAGGTGTCCGTGAATGCTTTGTGGCGCCTCGTCCACTCAGCTTTTCGGGGTGTCTCCAAAGTAACTAGAGGCATCCCTCCTTGGGTGGCAGCATAACTGCAAGGCTCAAGTTTAAGCCCACGAGGTAGGCGCAGGGGTACCAGGATATCGAAGCAGTCTGGGGAACCCACCTTGTGCTCTTCGTACGAGCTGCCAATTTGGACAGAGTCCCCACGAAAGGCCAGGGAGGACTCAGGGGGTACATCGGCCCGGCCCACCCTCACCAGTTCACTAACTAGCTTAGCCACGTGAGCTTTGCTGTGGCCTAGAACGTGTGGGGAAAGTCGCACATGCTTCTCAAAGTGATCTTCCAGCAGCTCCTTCTTAGGCACTGCAGGTTTACCAGCTGCTTCAGGGACCCTGTGGAAGCCCCGCTTGGCAGAGCCAGGCTGAGACGTGCAGTACCTAATGAAGAAGTAGCAGAGAGCAAAAGCCAAAACATACTTAAGCAGCAAGATGGCTCCAGGTCCCTGGTCAGAACAACCATCCCCTTTCTCCTCAGAGCCTCGCAGGATGAGGTGATGCAGCAGAAGCAAGGCGCTGAGAATGAATGTGACCAGAGGCCAGAACACCCTGAGGTTTAGTGTGTACACGCTCATCCTACTCTTCCGGTCCAGGCTTCTCAGCTTTCACAGTGGCAATGAGGGTTGCTAGCCCATGCTTAGCCAGCCTGCCAGCTGCTGAGGATGAAGTCAGGCTGATGTTCTCCTCAGTTACTGTAAGGTCTCCTTTCTGTAACTCTCTCCTACTCACTTCTAAACTCTTCCGTCCTGCGCAGCAAAGTTTATGCGGTGAACGTCTCTTCACGGAGGCCTCGTGCGACGAGGGCAGCTGGACTGAACCACTCAGGATGTTTGAAAATCCCCCCTCTTTGATGGGAAATGCTGGGCGAAAGAGACGAGCAGGCACTGACTGTGTGAGCTCAGAGGAAATGCCAAACTCTTGAGAGAGGAATTTCTGTTTGAAAAAAAGTGAGCTCAGAGCCACACTCCTCCCCTCACCCTTCCCCCCACCTCTTAAAGGCACATGCAAACTATACTGCTACAAGAGGTGACTTCTGGTGGTTTTACTTTATAGAGACCAGATGTTAAGAGCACATTATCACATTAAAACCCTCTTTTTTTGCCCAAACTACAGCTGCCTTTTTCATATATTGAACAATTTCATAACAAATAGACCAAGTTTGCAAATGGCCTAAAAATTCCCTAAAAAAGTAAAGATCATCTTTTCCTTGTTTCCATTTCAGACAAGCAAGGTTTTGTCAAGATTGCAATGATATGCAAAAACATAAAAACTCAAACTTCTGTGCAAAGGCAAACGGGAATGTGGATGACTGCACCGTGGATCAACCCACTAAAGAGTTAAGGTTGCAGCGCTGTACGTGGTTAGTGAGGGAGGACAAGGTAGGGTATTACTGTTTTTACACAACACACTGTCTCACATACTGAGAATTAATTACCAGGAATGACATCAGTGAGGGTGTGGCCATACTAAACTATACAACAACTCATTGAGCGAGAGACTGCAGGCCACACACACAGCCTGTGCCCTGTGAGGGCATGACTACAATAAGCTCCCAGTGCCTGTACTGACCTGCTAACAGTGCCTGCCCTCAGCCTGCACCCTGTTTGACCCAAAATACCTGAAAAAGAATCGACTCGCACAGCTGTTCTGACCTTGCACGGCGATGTAGAATTTTCATATCACCATAGTGCACAATAAAGCCATTTAGGATGTCTAGCTTATTCAAACACTCAGCAAACACTGATGTCACTGAGCACTTAGTGGTGACACTGTGGTGCTCTACATTGAGGACTGCTGTCATCTTCATTTGAAATTAGGCAAAGTAGCCGCAGAGTCGCTCCTGCCTTTCAAGTTCTCAACATAGAGCTGAACAATGTACTGTTGTTACTGGTTATCGTCAGATTAGCCTTTGCAATACTGATGTTGCAAAAAGACTTTTATTTTTAATTTAATTTTACATTTTTGTTTTGGAAATAATTTTGTAGATACTCACTAATTAAATGGAGTTGAAGTTTCAGTGGATGGTCCGGCCTTCTAGCTTAAAGAAAAAAAAATTAAATTTCTGCATAAATAAATGGTTAAGATGTGAACAAAGTCATTCACAGTGTTTAGATGTGAAATGCTGCGTTATCGAGAAACTCACCAAGTTAAAATTGTTCACAGTGGTGGTGATGGGAACCAGACATCAAAAGAGTTCAATGCCTCTGAAAACTCCCTCACATTCTTGGTAGAGAGGTGCGTGCAGGGTGTTATGAGGCAAAAGAGTACAGATGCGTCCACTACTGATGAGAATATTGGTTTGATCATTCATCAAAGAGTTTACTAACACTGAGATAAAAAAACATCACATTGATTTATCAGTCTACTCAGGCTTTAGCAGAGCTCAGTAACACTGAGATTAATAACTGACCATCCCATTGATTTATCAGTCCACTCAGGCTTTAGTAGGAACTTCAGTGTTTGTAAAAAAGCCGTTCAAAAGTTATATATTATTAAACGGTTAAATCGTTCAGAGTGGTTTGGTGTGAAATGCTCTGTTCTAGAGAAATTTACTGAATCAGAATTGTTCACAGCGGTGGTGATAGGAACCAGATGTCCACCTCTAAAAGCTCCCTCAGAGAAAGTTACTACATGAACAGTTATGAATACACTGCCTGATGTCTGAGACACTGATTGTGATAGTTTTCTGGCAAAGTTTTGGCCTACAACATCTTGTTAATCTCTTTATTTTTATCCATTCGTGGTGGATGGGTATATGCAGGGCGTTGTAAAGCAAAACTGCCCCCAAAGAAAACATACTTCTTCTGATTTCTCTCATTTTACCAACATCAACATTACTAAAAAACTCAGAAGTTCACTGGTGGTTTTGGATGGTAAATAAAACAGCTATTTTTGTGTTGTAGACGTGGTGACCCCTGGTTCCCATCACCACCACTGTAAAGAAATCAGAGCTAGTAAGTTTCTACAGTGCACCATTTCATATCAACCCACTCTGAATGACTTTGTTTACATCGCAATGATGGAATTATGAACAAAATTCAGAAAATAGGTGACCAACTGAGAGGAAAGACCACAGATGTCCTCAACACAAAGAACACCTGGGGTCCCACAAACCCCCTGACCTTGCCAGAGGACACTCTCAGAGGGAGACTGCTCAATATGGAGCACCGAGCGCCACTCCAGTAACAATATGAAAGGTCTGGAGGGGCTTAGGTCACCAGCAGAGCAGCTGCCTGAGGAAGGAAGTGGTATTTATTCTAAGGTTGAGATAGAGAGCTTGAAAAGGCTAAAAGCAGACGCTCCTGCAGCTGCGATTCTGCCGAGCTCCTATCACCTCCTTATCAAACTCTCCGAGCTATTCTGGCCCACTCTTAAAATAGCCTGGGTCTTTTTAAAGGCTTCAACAATACAGCTATCAAATACATGTCACTAATATTACCCAGCACATTCACTGTTTCCTTAATGTAGTGTCTGATTCAGCTTTAGCTTCTGAGGAAGAATCATGTGGTGAGCATGTTGCTCAGGGCAAAGAAAGGCAGACGATCAGACACAGTCTCATGATCACACGATCCGCCGATGGCCTGTGGTGTTTCTGTCATCAATACAGAGTCATACATGTAAGAACTTAATCCAGGAGTGGAACAAACTAACTATTCCTGTAGCCGACAGTGGCTTTATAGAATTAATGAGTTATCTCGATTAGCAGTTTGAGTCTATTCAAATCTAACAACCGATCAAATCATCAGTTTTCATGGATTTATTTCTCATTGTCACTCTGATATGCGTCTAACGGCATTAACTGGTTTTCAGTGGTAAATCTAATCACTTACGTTCATCGACTGACTCATTTCTTTTCTTTTTTCACCATTCACTATTTTACATTCACTGTCAATTCTTTGTTCTTTATTAGGGGCCCAATATTCTTCTTATCATTATTAATTTACTGCCTTAAAACGAATCAATTAAGTTGTACAGGCATGAACGTTGGTTAATAGGTACTGCTTCCTTCCTCGCACAAGCTCAGTCAGATCTACCAGTTGGTGGCGCTATATAAGTGTTTTGGTCTATATCTCCTGCCCCGTATATTGTAGAGACACAAATCTGATGTCAGAAGAATCCAAAGAGACTGAACTTCAATAACTATTTAAATAAAATGCTGGACTTTCCTCATGATGTAGTTGCCAGATGCAGCTGCATTGCTAGGTGGCGCTATAACAAGCAATAAAATGTTGTACAATGAAAGGATGTCTGATTGATGTGAAACTTTTCATGCTACTACTGTGTGCTGTCCTGGCTCAGGTTCTATGAGGCTGATAAAGCATTGCTGTCATCAGCCAATCAGATTTCAGCCAGTGTTTGACAGCCTTAGAACTGGCCAATAACTACAAAACATTTCTATGTATATATGAAACTTACTGGCATGTGGCCTAGTGGAGAGATTATAGCCATAATAGTAGTTTTAGCTGGTGCCCAAACGTCCAGGAAATCTTCAGTCCAGATGCCTTGAGTTCCACAGATATGTATGGCTGCTGGCTATATTTTGAAATTGAAGATAGTGGCATCTGATTGGTTACAATAGCTATCATCACTTGTCTGTCACCAGAAAGTGGCATCTAACCTTTATGCTGGCCAAATGATCTGACTCTCAGACAAAGCCCAGTGAAGCACAATACAGGATAGCCAATCGGAACAGAGCTCATTTACATGTATCACTAAACTGTACTGAACACCACTTCTCCAGGACCGCAGTTTACCACCCCTGCATTAAACACGCCAGACGTCTGGTTCCTATCACCACCACCATAAGTTTCTCAAGAGCATTTCACACCAAACCACACTGAATGACTCTGTTTACATCTTTAATAATTTAATTATGCAGGTGAATTTTTTATCATAAAATCAGAGGAATGCTAATTGAGGTTAAGGTTGTACTTCAAGTGTTTACCTATACATTTTGGTAAAAGTTTGACCTCTCAGGTCCGGCCTACACTGTTGTTTCGTTCTGATAAACTAGTTGTGCATTTTCCAAATGCACAAGAATTCTTGTTTGGTTTCCTGTGTGATTTTTCTTTGAAGTTCTATGAGGCTGTGATTCACTAGAAAAGAACTGGCCCTCAGTGAGGATGGGTGATTCCATAGTGGTGATTTTATGCCTCTAGGCAGTACTGTATCACTTGGAATTCAGCTGAAGCGATGTGGCCCTGTGGTGCTTAACCCTTGAAAATTTGGTTCTTTAAAGGATCTTTAAAGTGGTTATACGGCCATATGCAAAAGTTTGGGCACCCCTAGTTTATGTGGTTTGCTGACTTTTGCATTATGGTTGTTTTGGTAGTGACAAAATGGAATGTTCAATTATTTGCTTTAATAAACTAAAACATAATTAAGGTATAGAGTAAAAAGTAAAAGGATTTTAGTCTGAAGTCCAAGTCAGGTAAAAGTCTGAAATGGGAACTCTGGTGTTTACATCAAATATGCCTTAATAAATCATTATTTTCTTTTAATAGGCCCATATCCTACTTTCTTGTATTTAATTTCTCCCCCTGAACTCTCCTTATTCATTAGAATTAAACTTTAAGACTATGTTAAGATATATGTAAATGAGCTTTGTTCTGATTGGCTGTCATGTTTTGCACTTTATTCATAAAGCAGCCCAGGCTGAAACACTCCTTATAACTTCAGTCTGAATGGGCGGAGCTAAACTGCTGCAGGTTGAACAGGTGGATATATGTGAATACGCTGGCTTTCGTGACATCACAAAGACAGTGAAACACACACACACACAACACACACACACACACATATACACACACACACACACACACACACACACACATACACACACACACACACACACACACAACACACACACATACACACACACACACACACACACACACACACAC